AAAGGACTCTACCACCTCATTTCCTTGCCAAGCACCTCCACTGCCACACCTTCTCACCAAGTAGCAGCCACTTACAACTTTGAGCCACATCAGTTTGACCTTTGGCACTGGAGACTAGGCCACCCTGGTAGAGATAGAGAGAAACAAGTTATTGGTTGTAATAAGGTTGTAGTTACTCATTGTCCAACTTGTCATTTTTCCAAACAAAGGAAACTTCCTTTTCCAGATAGTGACAGTAGAGCACATTCACTTTTTGATCTAGTACATGTAGACATTTGGGGACCTCTTGCTGTGAAGTCCCATGATGGCTACTCTTATTTCCTTACATTGGTGGATGATCACTCTAGGAGTGTTTGGACCTTTTTAATGAAGCACAAGTCAGAAGCTAGTGATCTGTTGAAGTCTTTTTGTGTCATGGTTCACAAACAATTTGATAAAGCAGTTAAAATAATTCGAAGTGATCAGGGGAATGAGTTTCACATGCTGGATTTTTATTCTTCTTATGGAATCATGCATCAAACTTCCTGTGTGGAAACACCAGAGCAAAATGCTCGTGTTGAGAGGAAGCACCAGCATATCCTCAATGTGGCACGAGCTCTTAGATTCCAGTCAGGCCTTCCCCTCCAGTTTTGGAGTGATTGCATCCTCCATGCTGTTCATCTTATCAACAGATTACCATCCCCTATCACTGATAATCTTTCCCCATTTGAACTGCTTTACAAGAAACCTCCAGACTTATCCCACGTAAAGGTTTTTGGCAGTTTGTGTTATGCCTCTACCTTGCTTAGGGATCGAACCAAATTCACTCCTAGAGCTAGACAGTGTGTATTCCTTGGTTTCCCCTCTGGAACCAAAGGATATAAGCTTTTTGACCTTAATACTCACCAATTCTTTGTATCCAGACATGTCATTTTCCATGAGACTATTCTCCCTTTTCACACTACATCTTCTACTTCATCCTCTCCTACTTTTGTCCCTTCTCTCATTCCTAGCCCAGTGGAAGTTGTTTTCCCTCACACTTCCCCTATTCTTCCTTCAACATCATCTTATCCATCACAGAATGTGATTCCCTCTCCCTCACAACCATCATCCTCATCTTCTCCTTCTACCTTCTTCTTCTGCACCTATTTCCACTTCTTTTTCTTGTCCCGACACACTGTCTGAACCACTTACTGACTTCTTTGAGGTTTCTGGACCACATTCTGAGGGGGAGCCTGATGAACTGGTTGAGCAAGCTGATGTTGATATTGAGCCAGCAGTGAGAAGGTCTGACAGGTTGAAAACCATTCCTGTATGGCACAAGGATTACAAAGTGGGAGCTGTGCAGAGATATGCTATGGAGAATTATGTTACTTATGACAAATTGCCACAGGCACATAAGGCATATGTTATGAGTGTGATGGCAGCTGTGGAACCAAAGTCTTATGATGAGGCTTGTCTAGAACTGTGTTGGAGGGAAGCTATGAATGAGGAAAGGGATGCATTGGAAGCAAACCAGACTTGGGAACCAGCCTTCCTTCCTCCTGGTAAGAAGGCAATAGGATGCAAGTGGGTGTATAAAATTAAACTTAGAGCAGATGGGAACATTGAAAGGCACAAAGCCAGGGTATTAGCTAAGGGGTTTACTCAAATTTATGGGATAGACTTCCTAGATACATTTTCCCCAGTTGCTAAGATTAATTCAGTTAAGGTTCTGTTAGTAGTTTCAGCAGCTAATGACTGGCACATCCATCAAATGGATGTGTCTAATGCATTCCTTCATGGGGAATTGCATGAGGAAGTGTACATGAAGCCTCCTCCAGGAATGGAATTACCAGATAAAAGGATGGTGCTTAAGCTTAAGAAATCATTGTATGGATTGAAGCAAGCCAGCAGACAATGGTTTGCTAAGCTGGCAGGGTCTTTGCTTAAACATGGTTTCTCCCAAGCAGCATCTGATTATTCTATGTTTGTTAAAAGAACACAAGGAAGAGTCCTAGTTGTTCTTGTCTATGTGGATGATATATTAATTGCAGGTAGTTCATTGGGAGACATTGAGCAGTTGAAGTTATTTCTTGGAAGAGAGTTTAAAATCAAGGATCTGGGGGTCTTGAAGTTCTTCCTAGGACTGGAAGTTTACAGGGATCATAAGGGCATTCATGTTAATCAGAGGAAGTACTGCTTAGAATTGCTAGCAGATACAGGTTATTTAGAAGCTAAGGATTGTCTTGCTCCCATTGATTACAAAGTGAAGTTAACAGCCAAACAGGGGGAGCCCTTAGCTAATCCAGAAGTTTACAAAAGATTGGTTGGGAGATTACATTATCTCACCATAACCAGGCCTGATCTTACCTTCTCTGTGCAACAGTTGTGCCAGTTCCAAAAGGATCCTTACAGTGAACACCTCTTAGTAGCTTACAGGATTCTCAAATACTTGAAGCATGCTCCTGGCCAAGGTTTAATGTTCCCAGCAAAGACAGACTTGAAGCTGTCTGGTTTCTCAGATTCTGATTGGGCAAGCTGCCCAGATACAAGGAGGTCTGTGACAGGGTACTGTACTCTACTGGGAGAGAGTTTGATTACTTGGAAGTCAAAGAAACAGACCACAGTGTCCAGATCATCCTCAGAAGCAGAGTATAGAGCTCTTGCTCATTTGGTTTGTGAATTACAATGGTTAAGAAACTTGTTGGCAGAAATGGATGTGAAAGTTGAACTCCCTATTCAGGTGTACTGTGACAATCGTTCAGCGATGCATATAGCAGAAAATCCTGTCTTCCATGAGAGGACAAAACATATCGAGATAGACTGCCACATCACAAGGGAGAGATTGAAATCAGGGATGATTAAACTGAGTCATGTTAGAACAGAGGATCAACTTGCAGACATGTTCACGAAGGGGATGACTCGTTACAGGTTAAAGTATTTATTGGACAAGTTGGGAGTTGTTGATATGCACTCGCCAACTTGTGGGGGAGTAACAGACCAGATTGATTGCAGCAGCAGCAGAGAAGAAGAAAGTGCAGAGTTCTCAGTTGCTGATGAAGTGTAGAAGATGAAGAAGTGAAACGGTGACGTGCAGAGACAAAGGAATCAAAACGATGACGTTGGAGAAGAGTGACGTAGCCGTTGGTAAAAGAAGAATGGAGAAGAGACACGTGTTGCTATTTGTTTAGTCAATTTAATATACCGTTACTGTTTTTCCTTTTTACTGTAAAACAAACCCTGAGTTTACAGAGTATAAAATGAAAGAGAGAAGCAAGCAGCTCTCTCTACGATTGATCCCCCAATTCGTCTTTTTCCTTTCAGCTGCTTAACCTAGCAGCTTCTTCTATATTCATAAAGCGAACGACGGAGGGGAAGAAAAGGTAAATAACGGGGACTGAATACGGGAATTCGAAAGGGAAAGGGGCAAACGGAGTGCACCGATCTTATGATAGACCCGCCCGTATATACCCAAACCCCTTAAGCAATTAGGCGCTATTTATTATCTAATGATATGATTTTACCCCGACCGAAAGGATATCCCACCCCTATTCATATCAGTAGTATTGAGTGACCAACTGACCACATCCATGCACGGTGGGTATAGTGCTCCTACCTCTCTTGACAGCTCATATATTGTTTGAAATCAGGACATGCAGGTGAGAAATAAAAAAATACTACCCCTTTGACCCAACAATAGTGGTTTCTTTTTTTAATACTAAACCAACTCAAGCCTAGATGTTGAACAATCGTATCATTGCTCAAGAAAGCTTTTTTCCAGGGTCGTCTCTTTCTGGTAGGGGTGTACATGGGTCGGTTGGTTCGGGTTTAAGTATTTTAATCACCCGACCCATACACTACGGTTTGGGAATTGTCAAACCCAAACCCACCCAAAAAAATTTAAACCCTACGGTTTGTTTCTAATTGGGTTGGGTCGGGTTGGCGATATTTTTAAGTAAAAACCCAACCCAACATAAAATATATAATTATTATACACCATAAAAATATTTTATAACTAATTAAAATTTCAAACAAATAAACCGATGTGAAATGTATCAAAATTCACAAATGTTGTTTGAGTTTTAATAAAATGAGATTTACTTCAACATATGCCTAGTGTTTTTCACGATATTTGTTGAAATAGGCTAAAAAGGTTATAAACAAATGCATCCATAATATGTTATTCTATTAAAATTGTATACAACAAAAATGATTACGTGAATCATAATTATATTCAATTTATGTCTAAACTTTAAGTCGAAGAATGCATTAGATTAGGGAGACCATGATAGAAAAACATGGCGAAATATCTTAATTTTCACATAAGTATGGCTATATACGACATAAATATTTTTTAGATACGAACTCATACTAATAGTTGGAACACGGGTTGGGTCGGGTTCTACGGGTTGTGTAATCTAAAATCCAAACCCAACCCAAAAGAGGCGGGTTGCACAAAAGAAAATCGTCATCCAACCCAAAACCTTCGTTTTAACGATAAATACGGGTGGGTTGGATCGGGTTGGACGAGTGGGTCGGTTTGCGGGTGTGTTTGTTCACCCCTACTTTCTGGTGCATCCCTTCCCAAGAAATGCCACATTATTCCATGCACAAAAGATGAAAAAGCATGCATCTTCTTACTTTACGGGAAGAAACAAATCATTGTTTAGGGCGCAGGGGAGTAATGTGGCAGCAGGGGAGGCAAATTAGGGCAATGACTCATTGCGAAAGATTTAGTTAGAAAAGGGGAAAGGGGACACCCGGATGACAAAAACACAGGCCACCTCATAGAGAAACAGAAACAGAATCCTGTGATTGGAGATACGCTTGCTGGACAGTGATGTAACATGGAATTTGCAGGCTCCCTCTCTGCTCTTCACATGCTCCCATCATGGAATCCTTTCCTGATTATAAATACACGAATGGCAGACCATATTTCCTCATTTCCAAACTATCTCATCATCATCAGCCGCTAAAATCCTCTGTAACCCAACAACGTACCTAAGAAAAGGAAAAGAAGGCAACTTTAATTACCAACAATGGCAGCTAAATTCCAGACGAGATCAGTGAGCTTGCCCACCAGATCTCACCCTACAACCATCAAAATCCACGAGGAGCTCACCAGACTGAGAGCTTCCGACCCATCATCGGCTTCTTCTAGTTCCGCCATCTGCAACAGTTTATCAACTCTAAGAGACGTCTACGACAGCCTGGACGAGCTTCTCGCCATGGCATCAACTCGAGAAGCTCTGTCTCGCTGCCGATGCGTGGCAGAGGAGGAGCTCTTCTTAAATGGATCCGTCAAGCTTATGGACACTTGCGAGATCGCCAAGGATGTGATCGCGAGGTTAAGAGAAAGCGTGGCAGCCCTTCAATCTGCGATCCGCAGGAGAAGGAAAGGGGACTCCAGTTTGGAATCCTCTGTTTCTGACTACATTCGGTTGCGGGGGAAGACGAGGAAAGACGCCAGGAAATTGATTGCCCAGTTGAAGCAGCAGATGGGCAATCACAATCTAAAACTTAGGGCGGCCGATCACGACGATGATGAACTCTTTGGCGAAGTCGTTAGGGTTCTCAGAGAAGTTTATGCGGCCAGCAGCTGTGTATTGCAAGCGTTGTTGAGCTTTGTTATGACGCCGGTTTGTGGCAGGGCAAAACAGAGCAAGTGGGGGATTGCATCCAAGCTGATGAGAAGGCATAAGGTGGCGGCCGTTGGGTGCGAGGTGAACGAGATTCAAGCTGCGGATGTTGCTTTGGTCGGGGATGATCCGAAGAAGGAATTTGGTAACAAGGAGTTGGAATCGGTGGAGTGCTGTTTTAAAGAGATTGAGGGTGGTGTGGAGGGTGTTTTCAGGAGATTGATCAAATCGAGAGCTTCTCTGCTCAACATACTGTCTCAGTGAGAATATGACAGAAGAAATGAATTAATTTTGGTTTCCCATCCTAGATTTTAGAGGCATTGGAAGCTATTAGATACATAGGTAAATATATTGAGTGAAGTTTACATAGTCATGATTAAGTAAATTCTACGGCGAGTATCCTCTCGTACATTTCTTATCGTTTGGATGGATCAATTGTAAAACGAGACAATTTGACCAATTGTTTCATTTTACAAAACGAGTCATTTAAAACGAGTCAATTCAGATTACCTGCCCCCACCCCAGACAATTGTAATTGGCTCAAAATGAGTCAATTCAGAATTCCCCAGCCCAAATTGCTTCATCCAAATTTTCTGCTGCCAAACGGATCAATCTGGCACAATTGAGTCAAAACGAAACAATTGTGACAGATTGATCCATTAGAATTCCTCATCCAAACGACCCCTTAGCCCATGTGTATATTTTTACTTCTCTTTTCACCCATAAGTTCATGTGAAATGGACTGATAGATAATAAGCTCAGTTATAATGAATTTTTAACAGAAAATTATGTCAATCTTGTTATGAATAATTATTCCGAGGATGGGAAGAGACAATACCATTAGCAAGAAATAGAAGAGAATGAGTAACAGCACTTTTATTCCATACTCTCATACACGGATTACATTGGGAGAACATATATATAAAGGGAGAGGGGAGTTGTGATATCCAGCCTTCTTTCATATGGCTTCCTTTTATAGCCAAGGATGTATATGCAGTCCAAACACCATCAATAGTGAGTTGGGAAGATGGTGGTTGGGAGATGAATACGAACATCCATAAATTGAATATCATAATACTCCTTCTTGGATGTCCATTGATTAAGAATATGCCGCGTTAAAACCTTACTAGGAAAAACCCAATGGGATAAATATATAGTGAAGGAAAAAGAGTACATGATTTTTCTATTACGCTTTTATGTACTGCCTCATTAAAAACCTTACCAGGAAAACCCAGTGGGAAAAAACCTTGGTTAAGGGAAAAAGAGTGCAGTGCGTAAAGTCTCTCCCTTATGGAGAGATCTATCAATAGTTTGGAGTCTTCGAGCTCCAATATCTTTTCACATGGTGTTGTGGAATGTATTACCGTTATAAACAAATCTGCTGGATTGTCATTTGACGAACTTTGATGGTTCCACAATTCTCATGAAGTTCATTATTGAAAAACAAACTTCGCTAAAAATATTCACATATGTATCTTTTAAGAAGATACGTGTAATCACTTTCATATATGATCGCCTAGATCAATCTTTGAGAAATATCCTAAGTAATGGATACCTTTATCAAATAGATAATTATTTCATAGTGACGTGAATCATCAAAATGTTCGATGAATACTTTGCTCATTCTTATCATTTGGCCATCTTTTATATATTTCTTGATGCACATGACTTTCTCTTGCAAATATTTGATTTGCAATCAAAGGGAAAGTCTTGTTCTTTCAAGTTATTGATTTCAATTAAATTTGAATACTCTTCTGGAGTTTCAAGTCAGTCAATAACTTGTTATTTTTGAATACTCTTCTAGAGTTTCAAACCTATTTAAACCTTCAATCTCAATTTGAGATCATTGTTTATAAATGTGTCGACACCCCAAAAGTGGCAAAGAATTTGTCAACACGTTGCCATAAGAAGTTTGGCTCTTTCAACCAATGATTCTTTGTCAGAACACATGAAGCAATTATTGGAAGGTATTCGAGGTAAATTCATTTGTCTTCCTCAAATAATATTAAGAATAGGGCTAATACCACTACAACACCCGAACTATCCGGGAAATGCCACTTGTGTCCTATTGTTTTCAATATTCCATTCATGTCCTGAACTATGGTACTTTGTGTCATTTGTATCCTGTCAATTTTGTTGACCGTTAAAGATAACGGTTGACCAAACGGTGGTCAACGCGAATTTGACTTTTGTTGATGTGGCAAAAAATGTGGCTGCCACATAGATGCCACGTCACTGATCTCATATTTTTTTAATTCAAATTAAAAAAAATTTGAGTTAAAATTAAAATAAACGGTAAATTCAATAATATTATTAAGCCAAAGTTAAAAAAAAATTAAAAATCCCATTATTCTTCTTCCCTACCAATTCGCCTTCTCTTTCTCAAAAAAATCTCGAAGACGATTCCGATTTCCAGACAATGAAGGCGTCGCATCATCTCCTTCTTCCCCCAATCCGACCCGGCAATGAAGACGATTTCGATTTCCATTTTCCAAGCAATGAAGCCGCCGCATCATCTCCTTCTTCCCCCAATCCGACCCGGCAATGAAGACGATTCTGATTTCCCAGATCCCATCAATGGCGAGATTCAGGGTCACCCAGCTCCACTTCAATGGCTGATCTGACTATGTCGCAGTCGTGCTTCAGGGACTTCTTCGTTAGATGGAGTATGTTTTTGCCCGTCGACTCCGAATTTGAAGTCGATTTGCTTCCCATCATTCTCAGCAGATCGTCTACAAGGCCACTGTCGAGACCGAAGATTGATAATGAAAAGAATCAAGAGGAATCCCCTTGAATTTCTAGGTCACATAGAGGAAAAGAGAAACAGATCGATTGATGCATAGATAACATGAGGAATCGGAGGGGCAGAATCATCAAGATTCAACAGTGGTCAATACGATGGATCTGGGTGCTGCGCTCTGCGGCGGAGGAAGAACGACGGTGCAGAGAGCTCGTCTGTTCACCGACTTTCTCCTCTCCTGCGGCAGTGTAGAGAGCCTGTTTGTTCGCCAATCCGACGGATCTGGCTGCCGCGCTCTGCGGGGGAGGAAGAAAATCCTCCATGGTGGGCGCTAGCTCCGGATTTTGACGTATGGAGTTGGGACTCTAGAGCGACGGCGGTGTTGAGCGATAGATCTGTGTGTGTATTGGAGAATCCAGGGAAGAGGCTCTACAAACCCTACGGTGGCGGCGGTGGCAACGAGGAGGAGAGGAGGTATATTTTGGGTGGAATTTGTTTTTGGGGAGGAGGGGATGCAAGTCACGACACGGAGATGGGTGGGTGGGTGGGTGTGGGTAGTTTCTTTTTATTTTATTTGGTTACCTTTTTTGAAAAAAAAAATATTATTAAAAAAATTCCATGTCAGATGCTGACTGGATTTTCCGTTAAATATTAACAGTCAAAACCGGTCAATACTAACGGAAAAATAGTTTAGGATACAAATGGAATATTGGAAACAATAGGACACAAGTGGCATTTTCCGGATAGTTCGGGTGTTGTAGTGGTATTAGCCCTTAAGAATAGGGAACTTGAGATCATTCGTATTTCTCCCATCTCGTAGAAAATTCATCGAGATAGTTACTCCATATATATCGATACTCATTCAATTTGTTTGAGGGGACGATTCAATCTACTTGAATAATATTATTAACAATCTTAACATGTTTGGTTCAAGCAAACTAACTCCTTCAGCCTGTTTAGATAGACAAAAAAACTAAGGAATTGGAATTCTATTTCCTATTCCATTTCCATAAACTATGTTCGAAATGATAAAAAGGTTGAGAATTGAATTCCATTTGTTCTAAAATTTGGGAATTACAATTCCTATCAAAAGTGATAGGAATTGACTATTGAGTCAATGAAGATGGAATTAGTGGGACCCATCAATATTTAATATTATTTTAATGACCCACTAACATTTTACTCTCTTTCTCTCTCTTTCTCTCTCATTCATATTTCATTTCCCAAAATAAAACAAACATATTACATTATTTATTATTTTTAAAAGTGCAATCCTTATCCTTACTTAATATTATAGGAATACAAAAATAAATTAGTGCCACATAAGCACATGGCTAGCTCTCAGCCATCCCACGTGGACTTCTAATTATAATTGATATAGTTGTTTCTTACACTTTAATACATCATTATTATAAATAAAATGTATGAGTTAATAATAATGTGAAATTCCTAATCAATACAATCTTTTGGTTTGCTTCTATCTCTTTGCTTATAGCTTCTCTCTCTTAAAAGAAAATCCAACATTAAAAAGAAGAAAACAAAGAAATTGGTTCAAGTCCCATAAAACAAACAAAGCTCTCTTCTTATTTACTAGATCCTTTTAAGATTTTTAGCACTTATCTTGTTTACTTTTTACAGAATGATACCGAAAGAAAATAATACGACATACAACTTTTTGTTTGTTTGTGGAGAATAGGGAGGGAGTTAGATGAAGCAACAATTATATGGAAAACAATTGAGCAGTTGTAACATATTTTTGAGTTGTTGATGGGGAAAAAATGTTCATCATATATATGTGAACACAAAGCATTATCGTCTGCTCCCTTTCCCCTTTGATCCACAGTTGGTGATTGATATCTCTTCCCCGGAAATTTGTGGCTGTCTGTGATTAACTGACCAAGGTCTACTCTTCTGTCTATTGTGTATCTCTTTCCATTCTTTTCTTAATTTCTTCCTGATTGTGGAGGTGGGGTCGTAAGTTTTCCACTAGATTATGGAGGTGGTGCATTTTTTTTTTCATTTTCCAAGTAGTTTTTTTTTATACGAGAAGAAATCTATCTTGCGACGGCAAACACCAGCCCCATAGATACCCGCCAAAGCTCAACAACATTTAATACGAGCATAAAGCCCTGTCGGTGACCACCAATGGGGTAACGCAGAAGTGGTGGTCGCTAAGAATTGAACCCAGGACCTCGTGGACACAATCATGCGCCTTTACAACCTCCACCACCCTTTGGTGGTTTCCAAGTAATTTTTTTTATGATTCTCTCACTTACCTTATACTTTTATAAAAATAAGTAATATATATTTCGAAGGGTTAATTATTGGGATTTATTAGAGAATCTCTATTTGGGTTGAACAATTGATCATTTTCCTTGGAGGCCTATCGCAACCCGATTCCTTGGTTGCTAAATGGAAAACGGAGTTATAAAGGTTGTCATCTTGCCAAACTCCATCAGAGGATTCTTTTTTTATGTTTGTTATGTTCAACAACAACATGCTACTACATAGGTATATAATGATG